CGCACCCCCTGCCCTTCCCGTTTCCCCTTCACAGCCTCAACCCAGGGCTCAGATGCGCCACCACGGCCCCTCTAGACCCTTCGATGTTGCTCTGTGTGGCGCCGCTGACAGTGGAGCTAGTGAGCGTGGAGTGTGCTGAGTGGTACTCAGTCACCCAGGCAGGCCGACACCTGAACTCCCTACTCCTCCCTCCCTCCACCCCCCCGCACAGCCTCAACCCTGGGCTGAGATGCGCCACCACGGCCCCTCTGGACCCCTCGATGCTGCTCTGTGTGGCGCCGCTGACAGTGGAGCTAGTGAGCGTGGAGTGCGCTGAGTGGTACTCGGTTACCCAGGCTGACACCTGCAGCCACATTGCCAACGCTTCTCTGCTCTCCTTGGACGATTTCATGAAGCTCAACCCCGGACTCAGGGTAAGCTCTTGTGTAGACTGTGGATTCTCAGGGTAAGCTCTTGTGTACACCCTGAACGCATGTGCAGTTGTGATTCCATTTTGCTGCATGTTCCTGTATCCTCCACGGCCTTCCCTGCACATCCCTCTGTGCCATTTATTTTTCTTTCTTTCTCATGCTCGTCTGTCCCCTCTCCCCCCGGGGCTCCTCGCAGTGTGACCCGCCGTACTTCCAGATCGGGCAGCAGGTGTGCATCGCAGGGGCAATCGACGCGTTCAGTGTGACTCTCTCTCCTCCATGCCTGCACCTCTCACTCTGCCCCACTCCTTCCTCCCTCCCCCCTCTCCCCCTTGCAGTGTGACCCGCCGTACTTCCAGATCGGGCAGCAGGTATGCATCGCAGGGGCAATTGACGCGTTCAGCGCTGACTCCCTCTCCTCCGACGTTATCCCCTACACCGTCGTTGCAAACGATACCCTTGCATCCATTGCCAAGTATTTCAACAATCTCTGCCTCAACAACACCTTCCCAACCTCAATCTGCGACACCAACACCCTCCCCTCCTGCGACGACTCAGCCATCTCGCAAGGGCAACTGCTGCTAATACCCTGCAAAAACCGGATCTTTTCGGACGTCTGCCCGCTGGCGACGTCGATCGTGTGTGGGGCGGACGGGGTGACGTACGGCAGCGGGTGTGCGGCGAAGAAGGCGTTTGCAATGCCGTTCCGGCAGGGGGTGTGCGCGCCGTGTGAATCAGCCTGCCGCGGTCGCATGTTCTTAAAGCCTCTCACCGGCACTACCTGCAGTTCCACGGCAGTGTGTCCCCCTCCCCCTTGGCCGTTCACTGATCAGGCCCTCACTTGCGGGAATCTGTCGCCTTGCGAGTGTTTATTTCAAATATGCGCGCACAACTGTAGACGGGCTTCGGCGTATTTGGCCGTGAGTCAGCGGCCGGGGTGGGCTCCAAACAGTTGCCTGCCTGCCTGCTACCAGTTACGAACTCCTTGCCTTGCTCGTAAACCGCCTGCTTGGCTTAGGTAGTGGTAGGAATGGTGCTTTGGAGGCTCTGGAAAGGAAGTGGGTGCTGCTGGTCAGGGTGATCAAGCAGAATAACGGGTTCCCTTTTTGCTTTTGCGTTTGTTAGATGTGCCTAAATCCTGCCTATCCACGTTTTGCTTGTATATGTTTCTACTAATATAAAATCCTGACTTTTTTTTGTGTGGAAGAGATAGCATCTCCAAGTAATGCAGGCAAACAGTTGATAGTATATCGAGAAAGTTCAAATGGTGTAAAGCATGTTCTGTCGCACAGCTGAGTAACCCGCTCAGCATTTCGCTGCCAACGCAACACACGGAAGTGAGACAGCTTCATCAGTTCCTGCCATGGCAGTCCGCAATTCACGCCACCTCACCTTCGTGCTCCTCGCACTCCCAAATTTCCCGAGCCGCTGCGAACAAATTAATTTCAGAAATTCGCGAGCTAAATTTCGCGCCACGCCCCCCCCGCTTCCTCCGATTTCGTCACTCACGCACTCGCTCGCAATTTCACTCGCAATTTCAGGATTCCAGGTACAAGAGGGGAAGCATCTGGATTGGAGTGCTTCAAGTCACTTCCCACTTCCACCTTGCTCCATGCACCCATCAGAAAATGTCGGTCGCAAGCTGGCATGTTTGAATGCTCGCTAGCGCCGACAGCTGTCGCGATTGCAAGTGGCCCATTGCTGGAGTATAAATAGTGCACTGCCTTGCGAGGCACAACCGACAAGACTAGCATTGCGGGTGAATCCGTAATAAATAGGTCTTTCTCTTCGATTACTATCACAAGAAGGACGACTCCACATGAGCTCACGGCCCACGCGGTAGGACCAGTCAATCGAACGCAGACGACTCGTCAACCACAGCAGCATTAACAGAACGTGTGTGTATATTATTCTGCAATCCCTCACGAGCGAGATAAATCGGCAGAGTAGCATCCGCACGAGTAGCAGAGTATGGCGGTCAGGGCTTTGCTCGGAACGATCCTCGTTCTCTCGCTCGCCGTAGCGGCGGCTGCGGGGCCGACGCCTGCCGAGTTCATCGCGGAACTGGAGCAGCTGCAGAAGACCCTTCTCAAGAACCCGTTCAAATACTCGATTGTAGCGAACGCGTTACAGCGGTCAATCAAGCAGCTTAGTAAGTGCCGTGTCGTCACGTTCGGCCGTTTCCCTGTTCCCTTCTATTCCACTTACCACCACCCGACCCCCATCAACCAACATCACCGCTCAACTTTCCCCTTTACCCCCCCATCCTCCAGCCGCTTCGACTTATATCTCCGCTTCCAACATGTAACTCATCTCTTCCCTCCCTATTTTGCACATGATTCTTTCTTTCAGAAAAGCTGCCCGACGCAAACATAAGCGTGGAGTTTCTATCCGAAAACACGGCGCTGATTCCCACCAACATCGCTCTCACGGGAGTCGGCATACGCGCTATAGTGCCGAAGCTCATGGGCAACCTGATTCGTTTTAACGTCATCGAGGGCATGTACCCTTTCGCACAAATAAAGTCGATTCCCGTTGGCGGGAAACTGAAAACGCAACTGAACGGGAAGCAGCTTGTACGGTTCAAGAGCCAGACGGGTTTCCTTTCGCACGGTACAACCGTCGCTCTGGGCCCTCCTGGGGCGAACGTGCTGACGTGGGCGCAAATCGACGATCCAGATCTCTTCAAGGGGCAGTTCATCCGAGCGCACGGTGTGGATGGCGTGCTCAAGCCCAACGGGATAATCTGAGATCCCGCGTCCTGCCACCAGCTATACTTCTGAAGACTAACATCTATACATACACTCATTATACTTCCTCACCGCACCGTATATAAGTGAGGCTTGCGAGACAAAGGCTTCTGTCGTTTTCCCACTCCAGACGATTACTACTGGAAGTCCTGAAAGGGCTACTACGGTATTGCTTGTTTGTAATTAAAAGCATTAATGCTACGAATGACATGGCCACTAATCAGCTCAACTTTACACACACATGAAAGCTGGATGCTACAGTCAATGCAGATCCACTGCAGCAGGTTTGACTAAAACAGGCTGCCGTCTGATCCTTGTGCTTTGTGATTTATGTCAAAGGCACAAGACCAATCAGGCACAAATGGGCCCACTCACAACATAGGCTCCTCACAAGAGTTCTCGCTGGAAAAGCGCGTCTGGCTATTCCAGATGATTCTGGCAAGCACAAACAGCCGAGGGGTGGGGGCGGCGTGGCCTACGGATGGGCTTGGCACCATCAGCGCTGGCAAAGAGAAGTTGTGCCAGGCGCCATGATTCATGAACTAGGAACGCGCCAGGCGTGATGCGCCAGGAACATTGCTGATGTATTGTTTTAGGCACCTTGGAAATCGACAGGTGCAATGTACTGGCAGCACTGGTGGGCTCTGCTATGGGTCTTAGATGGCGTTCACAGCAAGTTCTCTCAAAGCGAACCGCACTCAACAACAGTGCACAGATATTTGTGAAGCACGTGTTTGGGATTGCTTCACGAAACGTTGTTCAAAACGATCTTGAAGTTGCTGGGGTTACATGCACGTGATTGGGTTTGCTACTTCGCTCAAACTCGTCTACCTATGTATCCACATTCGCATGGCACGTGGAGTGGGTGTGGTCGGTTGCAAAACTGCCACGCTGGACCGAATATTCGCCCTGCGCGGTTCGCTTTGGGGGAACTTCGCTTGAGCGAACTTGCTGTGAACGCCATCTTATGCAAGCAGAGCCGGGGCGGCATAGGGCCTCCACAGTTGGGACTCTTAAGAAATCTCAGAGGGCGCAATGCACTGGCAGCAGCTTCTGGGCTCTCCTACGGGTCTTGTGCAAGCAGGGCCTCGGCATAGGGCCTCCACAATTGGACGGCTGAGATGTCAGCATCCAGCGAGTGGCACAGCCCTCGCAGCAGCAGCATCGCTCTCACGATCTGATGCAGACATAGGAGGGGAGAAGGATGGGCGGGGGGAAGGGGGAATGGGGATTAGGGTAAGTGGTAGATGTAACACAGCTCTCACAGCAGCAGCATGCCCCCAATGATCTGATACTGATGGAGGAGCAGGAAAGTGGGGTAGCCCCGTGATATAAGAGTGTTTTTGAGACGTCTGAAAAACATTATTTTTATCAAATAGCTCTCACAGCGACGGCATCCCCCAAACCATATGATACAAATGGCGGAGTAGGGGAGGGGGGTAGGGGGAGGGGGAGGGGGAGAGGCAATTTCGAGTCTGTTTTCTAAGCACCGGAGCAATATGGGCTCTCAGGATCTAATTCACGCACCCACAAGGGAGCCTGTTCCTCAGACCTCCCCCGCTCTTCCTCTGTCCCCCATCCCTCACCCTTTCCTCTCTCTCCCCCCCCCACTCACCAGCCAGTAGGACTGGTTGAAAGCCTTGAGAGGCGCTTTTTGCAAAACAGACTCCTGAGCAAGAGGGGAAGTCTGGGCCTCAGCCATGGGGCGCGTGTCAAACATGAGATACGAGAGCGTCTGCACCGTCTGCAGCCTCTGTATTTCCCCCTCTTCCCCCCACCTTCTCCAACCTAGTCCCACACTTACCTACCAGCCAGAGCAGCCCTTTTCAGACCCCTATCATCACTTCTCCTTTCCCCAGCCACTCACCAGCCAGTAGGACTGGTTGAAAGCCTTGAGGGGAGCCTTCTGAAGCACGGACTCCTGAGCAAGAGGGGAAGTCTGGGCCTCAGCCATGGGGCGCGTGTCAAACATGAGATACGACAGCGTCTGCACCGTCTGCAGCCCCTGTATATCCCCCTCTTCCCCCCACCTTCCCCATCACTAGTCCCACACCTACCTACCAGCCAGATCATCCCTTTTCAAACTCTTACCATTTCTTCCCCTTCCCCAACCACTCACCAGCCAGTAGGACTGGTTGAAAGCCTTGAGAGGCGCTTTTTGCAAAACAGACTCCTGAGCAAGAGGGGAAGTCTGGGCCTCAGCCATGGGGCGCGTGTCAAACATGAGATACGAGAGCGTCTGCACCGTCTGCAGCCTCTGTGGCGTTGCTGCTGCCAGCAGCCCGGCCGGCCCCACCTCCTTCAGCAGCGTTGCTACCGCTGACTCCCCATCAGATTCTCCCCTCCCCGCACCTGCCTTGCTGCTACTGCTCTCCTCCCCTCCCTTCTCACTCACACCAGCAGCAGCAGCAGGAGCAGCAGCAGCAGTGGTGGCAGCAGCAGGGGAGTCGTCAGGAGGGGCTTTTTCTGTGAATGCCACCACAGCAGCCAGCACTGCAGCAGACACAGTTCCTCCTTCCACCCCATGCAGCACTGGTGACCCCCCTGCAGCCGCAGGAGTGGCGGCAGCAGGAGTAGCAGCAGAAACAGCTGTAGCTGGCGCAACAGGTACAACAGGAGCAGCAGCAGGCGTGGCAGAACTAGCAGCAGGCACTGCAGGTGTCGGGGCAATGAGGTTGCTTTTCGTCGGGGCAGCAGGCATGCCAGCAGCAGCAGCAGCAGCACCAGAGCCCGAGGAGGCAGCAGGGCCGAGAGTGAGGGGGTCACTGAACGCCACTGTCTTCTTTTTCCTCGGCCTGGGACCAAGACCAGGCAGCCCCACCACTGCCTCTCCTCCTGATGCTGCTGATGCTGTTGCTGTTGCTGTCCCTGTCCCTGTGCCTGTGCCTGTTGACGCTGCTGCTGCTGCTGCGACCGTGTCTGCTGGTGCTGCTTTTGAGCCCGAAGCTGCTGGCGGCTTGGGTCCCAGACCAGAACCAAGGCCCAGCCCTGCAGGAGCAGGAGCAGCAGGAGCAGGAGCAGGAGCAGGAGCAGGAGCAGGAGCAGCCACACTATTGACTGTTGCCAGGCCGTTACATTGCGCACTCTCTGACACGTGCCCGTTCATCATTGGCTCCACTTCCGCTGCCCCGCCGCCCCCCTTCCCGCCCTTCCCACTCTCCTCTGCCCCTCCTGCTGCTCTCGCCCCTGTCGACCCCTCCCCTGGTTTTGAAAAGAAGGTAGTCCAGTCAGCCTCCCCCCCAAACGATATCCCTGTTCCCAGCAGAGCAAGGGCGATTTCAAGCTGGTTACCCTTACACAGGGCCACCACCATCCGGGCAAACGAACGTTTCGTCTGCCGCTCCAAAACTTTCGACTGCCCGAAATCCAGCAGCCCGAGCTTGGCGCCGGGCAGCAGCAAAAGGTTTCCTGGGTGCGGGTCGGCGTGGAAAACACCGTCCAGGAAGAACATGGCACCGTAGGATTCGAGGAGGGATCGGACGGCTGAGATTGCTTCTAGGCGCGTGGCGGCAAGAGGAGGAGGGAGGAGGGAGGAATCTTTGTACGGGTGTAGGGAGTCGATTAACTTGGTGAATGGTGTCCCGTACAGCCTCTGCAAGGGTTTCGGGTTTAGGGTGGGGGCGGTGAGGGGGGAAAGGAGAGAGAATTACTGGTGGGGACAGATCGAAACGAGGAAGTGAGGGGGGAAAGGAGAGAGAGTTACTGGTGGGCCAGACGACCTGGTGGAAGCGTTGAGACGCCTCTTGGCTCACCAAAACCCCCTGACAGCACCACACAACACCCCACAGCACCCCGTGGCACCCACAGAATCCCTTGCGTACCTCCATGACGATCATGCGCTGTGTGCAGAGACTCAGCACGGGCGTGGGGCAGACCACCTGGTGGGAGCGTTGAGACTCCTCGGACAGCACCCACCAGCACCCCACAGCACCCCACAGTACTCCGCGGAACCCCACAGCACTCCACAGCAGCACCCCTTGCGTACCTCCATGACGATCATTCGCCGCGTGCAGAGACTGAGCACGGGAGTCGGGCAGACGACCTGGTGGAAGCCTGGAGACGCCTCACACGGCAACCAGCAGCATCTGAGAGCACCCCACTGCACCCAACAGCACCGCACAGCACCCCTTGCGTACCTCCATGACGATCATGCGCCGTGTGCAGAGACTCAGCACGGGCGTGGGGCAGACGACTTGGTGGAAGCCCCTGCAGGCGAGGTTGTGGCGCACGGTGGTCATGAAGGCGGCCTCCCTGTGAAAGTTGAACTCGTTGGGAATCGTCTGCTGTATCTCCTTCACTATCTGCCTCCAGGGAAGGGGGTCAGGAGGAAAGGGACGAGGATGGGTACGAGAAAGGGGACGAGGGGAAGGGGAAGAGGGGAGTGGGAACGAGGGAGGAAAGAGCAGAAGGCGATTGGGAAGCAAGCCCCTGCAGGCGAGGTTGTGGCGCACGGTGGTCATGAAGGCGGCCTCCCTGTGAAAGTTGAACTCGTTGGGAATGGTCTGCTGTATCTCCTTCACTATCTGTGCGCGGGGAGGGGGACACGGGCAGCGGAGAGAGGAGGGGGAACAGCGGAGGGGGAAGAGAGCAGGGACACGAGCGGAGGGTGAAAAGGGGAGTGGGACGAATGGTGGTCATGAAGGCGGCTTCCCTCTGGAAGTTGAACTCGTTGGGAATGGTCTGCTGTATCTCCTTCACTATCTGTGCGCGGGCCCAGGGGTGGAGGAAGAGAGTGGGAGCAGGAAGAGGGAGTGGGAAGAGGGGAGTGGGAAGAGGGAGTGGGAAGAGGGGAGTGGGTTGAGGGGAGTGGGAAGAGGGGAGTGGGAAGAGGGAGTGGGAAGAGGGGAGCGGGAAGAGGGAGTGGGAAGAGGGAGTGGGACGAGGGAGTGGGAAGAGGGGAGTGGAAGAGGAAGAGGGAAGAGGGGTGGGGACATGGCATGTGCCTTCACCACCACCGGCCTGCCCCGCACCCACGCCAGCTCACACGCATGTGCCTACACCACACCACACCGCACCGCACCACACCGCACCGCACCACAGCACATTGGAGCTCACATTGCGGAGGTCGAAGGGCAGCTGGGGCGAGAGGAATTCAGCGACACGGCCAATGTTTCTGAGGTCAGAGCGCATGATGACCCAGGTGCTGCACCTTCACCACCACCGCCCTGCCCCGCTGCCACGCCAGCTCACACACATGGGCCTACACCACACCACATCAAACCACATAGAGCTCACACTGCATGCCTACACCACACCACACCATACTGCACCACACCACACCATACTGCAACACACCACACCACGCCACAGCACAGGATGGCTCACATTGCGCAGGTCGAAGGGCAGCTGGGGCGAGAGGAATTCAGCCACGCGGCCGATGTTTCTTAGGTCAGAGCGCATGATGATATCCATGCCCAGGTGCTGCACCTTCACCACCACCGCTCTGCACCGCACTCTCTCCCTCTCCCTCTCCCGCTCCTTCTCCTTCGTTTTCTCCTCCTCGCTGCCTCCCTCCTCATCGGCTCCCCGTTCCGCTGCTCCTCCGGTCCCTCCCTCTCGTCCCTCACACGCTGCCACGTGGCCACCGCTCGCCACATCAGCACCGAGTTCAGAGGCCTCGGAATGCGCGTCAAAGAAATCGTCCCTCTCGTCCCCACTCTCCCCGCTCTCCCCTCCCTCCCCATCGAAGAACTGCTCCTCCTCGCCTTCCTCCTCCCGCTCACCCTCTTCCGTCCTGTCATTGGCCAGCCGCGGAGGGATAGGCCGCTTCAGCATGGCTCCTGCTGTTGCCCCTGCTGCTCCTGCTGCGCCTGTTTCCCCTGCTGCAACACCAGAAGAAGGCGAAGGTAGGGCAGGGCCGGCAGGGGAGATGGGTTTGATGGTGCCATCGGCAGTCATGACTCCGATTGGCTTGCGGTCCAGAGGCACCAGGCGGGATATCACCCCAGGCACGGTTCTCCTTGTGGCTGGACTGCTGCTCGCACCTACTGCATTCATTGCAGCTATTGCAGGGGCGGAGGTCACAGCAGAAGCAGCTGCTGCCGCTGCTGGTGTTTCTGCTGCCACTGCAGCCGCTGGTGCTGCTACAACCTGCAGCGGATTCACAGCACCTGCTGCCGCTCCTGCTGGATCTTCCCCTGTCGCTGCTGCTGAACCTGCATCTGCCGCCGCTGCATCTGCTGTCTCTACAGCCGGTGCTTGGAAAGCCGACTGGAACAGCGGCTTCACCCACAGCCGATCCGTCTTCGCCAGAAAACACGCCTCAGTGCACTCCGCGGCAATCCCAAGGGCGTCCCTCTCTTTACTCGTGAGGTGCGGCAGGATAGGCAGCACCTTGGTGGGGTCAGTGGGGTGGTTGTCAGGGAGCGGGTGCAGGAGCACGGCTGCATGCGCCTGGGCTATGGAGGCAGAGGCGAGAGACTCCTCGTCTATGCTCTCAAACATGTCTGCTACCAGCAGTGCACGGCGCTTGACCTGCGTTGACTTGCTTTGACTGGCTGCCTTGTCGTCTGTAGTGGGCTTGGCGGAGGGAGCTTCACCATTTAGAGCATCGGCGGCGGCGGTGGCAGCAGCAGGAGGAGGAGGAGCAACAGCAGCATCAGCAGCAGCAGAGGCATCACCATTGGCAACAGCAAGGGGGGAAGTAGGGGCAGCAACAGGAGGAGGAGGGAGGAGAGCGGGGGTGGTGGAGGGGCCGGGAGGAGGACAGATGGCGAGCTCGCATTGGATGGAGCGGATGACTTGCGAGTAGGGGCGGGGGGGCACGTTGTCAAACAGGGCTGAGAGGCGCCGCACCCACGCTGCTGGCATGAAGTCCTGAGAGAGGGGCGGGGGGGAGCAATAGGGGGGACCGTGTGGGCATGTCAGGTATGAGAGTTGAGCGGGAGGGCATGCTGTCGAAGATCGATGAGAGGTGTTGCACCCAAGCTGCCGGCATGGAGTCCTGTGAGAGCGCGGGGGGCATCGTTGGGGGGGGGAAGGGGGGGGGGGGGGGGCGCGGGGGCATGCCAGGTGTGTGGGAGTTGGGCGCTGTCAAAGAGCGATGAGAGGCTGCTGAGCGTCGCACCCACGCTGCTGGCATGAAGTCCTGCGAGAGGCAGTGGGGAAGGAGTGCGAGGATGGGGTCTTTTGTGCTAGTTTTAAGAATTCTCAAAAGTAACACCAATATAGTGGGGAAGGAGTGCGAGGATGGGGTCTTTTGTGCTAGTTTTAAGAATTCTCAAAAGTAACACCAATATAGTGGGGAAGGGCTCATCTGAGAATGCGCATGTCAGCACGGAGAGGTGACGCGGGCTGTTGGAGTCGAGTAGAGCAGTGGGGTAAGGAGATAGAAGCAAAAGGATGCGTGAGTACGGATTCTGAAAGCAACGATGGGAGCGTACCGATTTGGAGGCAAGGATTTGTGCCGACTTGACGTAGAGGCCGCTGAGACGCAGCACCAGGTCGTGCACGAGCCTGCATGGGTACGCGGAGGGAAGGAAGCGAGAGGGCGGAGAGACGGCAGAGCGAGGCGGAGGGAGGGCGGGCGAGTTATGAGATGTCTACAGGGCGGCTGAGACGCAGCACCAGGTCGCTCACAAGCCTGCATGGGGACGGCGAGCAGGGGGAGAGGGGGCGAAGGGAGGGCAGAGAGAAGGCGGAGCGGACATGCTGCCTCATATATGCTGCCTCGTACATGGTAGTGCGTGTTGCCCCATTCCCTCTCACTTGCAACCCCATTCCCTCTCACTTGCAACCCCATTCCCCCTAACTTGCCGCCCCATTCCCACTCACTTGCCGCCCCATTCCCACTCACTTGCCGCCCCATTCCCACTCACTTGCCGCCCCACTCGTGGCGCACGGCCCACTTCTCGTGGCGAACCTCAATGGGCTTCTTGCGCACTGCGAGCTTTGTCTTCATGTACCTGGGGGGGAGGGGGAGAGTAGGGAGGCGGGTAGGTGGGGAAAGGGAAAAGGGGAGGGGTGGTGAAAAGGGAGGGGTGAAAGGGTGGCGCACATCCCACTTCTCGTGGCGAACCTTTCATGTACCTGGGGGGGGGGGAGAGGTTGGAGAAGGGAGGTGGGAGGTGGGGGATGGGGAGAGGGGAAAGGGGAGGGAGGGGAAGGGGTTGCGAGAAGGGAAAGGGTGAAGGACGAGGGAGGAGGAAAGTGGTGAGCGGAAAAAAAAGGGGTGGGGAAAAGAGGTTGGGGGGTTGGGGGGATGGGGTTTGGGGTAGAGAAGTGCCCTGCACACAGATGCTTCCACTTGCTTCCCTATGTAGAAAAACCAATACATGCGCCTCACAGAACGCACCCCATGGAGATCGGCATGATCTATTAGGGAACCCCAAAAAGCGCATTCCATGTGAATGCGGAAGGGCTCTTCGGGCGGCTCAAAATACGCATCCAAATAACATGGGCATGGGCAATCAACGTGCCTCAAAGAACGCACGTACGAGCAATGAAGGCGGCCCAGAGGACTCACCCCAGGTAGATGGGCATAAGGCGGTCCCAGAAGCGGAGAGTGCGCCAGACATCGGGGAAGGCGAGGGGGATGAGCGAGCTGAGGGCGACCTGCAGCATCACCGGCAGGCAGAAGGGCCGCAGCCGCGCCACGGAATTGGCTGCTCCGGCCGGCATCTGGTGTGCGTGAGGGGAGGTTGGGCATGGTTGGGTGCGGTTGGGTATGGCTGGGTTGGAGAATCAGGGTTGTAGTCAGCTTGGAGTGAGCGTGGAGCAGATTGTGTGTCAATATAGTCATGCGTGCCACTCATTGTCATGCGTACTACTCATTGTCATGCGTGCCACTCAATGTCATGCGTGCCACTCATCGTCATGCGTGCCACTCATTGTCATGCGTGCCAATCATTGTCATGCGTGCCACTCATTGTCATGCGTGCCACTCATTGTCATGCGTGCCACTCATTGTCATGCGTGCCACTCATTGTCATGTGTGCCACCCATTGGTCATGCTAAGCTGTCGTGCGTGTCACTCATTGTCGTGTGTCTCGCTCGCAGTCATGAGTGCCGTTCACTGCACGTGCGTCGTTTATTGCCAGTGGTTTTCTCATTGACATGCACGTCAATCACGGACATGCGCCTCGCATGTGCTCCACTGTTCCTTTGAACCGATCGCAAATCGCGACCCGGAACCACACGTGTCGTGACAGACTGCGAACGTCATGACACGAGCAGGACCAGGAAGCTGCAGCTGCAGCTGTTAAATAGAAACAGTAATGCTAATAGAAACGCGTACCAGGCGAAGAGGCAGCTTGGACCAGACATTGCTGCTGGCGATCGCGGCGACTCGGAAGAATGGCCATACTACCCGTCCTAGCGTGTGGACCGCGAGAACGGCTACGAACCGACCCGCGAAGGAGGCTCCGGAACGCAGGAACCCCCCGACACCCATCTGAGCTGCAGCTGCCTAGTCTACGAAGACAGCTGGAATCAGCCTTCCATGACGTTGAACTAAGGAAGTTGATTATAGAGCCAAACTGCTGAGATGACTGCTGGCGAGCTAAGGAAGCTGATAAGAGTTTAAATGCTAGGAAGCCCACGGGAAAGGACTAGATCGGGTAGCAGCGGTCATGCGAAATTTGGTCGAGCATCGATCAAGTGCACCGGTCTGCTTACTTGTGGACCGACGAGCACAGAAGACTATGGTGGACCAAGAGCCGACTAAAACGTCTTGTCAATGTCCATTTGGCCAGCCAATCTAGTGCTGGAGCGGAAAACCGACTCCCGATTCTGTCATGTCAAACAGAGCTCCTTCAGAGCTTCCTGCAGAATTGTACTGTGCCAAGTGAATGGTTCCTTTTGTTCTGCGCACTCTACTCTACACCCAAGACAACTTCGGAATCACTATCCCTGTGCACGTATTCTGTTTCAAAGCAGCGAACCGAGCTAGGTTTGGTTTGGAAATAGGTTGGGAAATTCGGAAATCGAGGGCGGTGTTGTGCAGCAGGCTGACATTCCCAGATTCCTGGGGTGGAACTGGGGGGAGTCCTTTCTCCACATCGTAAGGACACAGCGCACTGATTGGCCGCAGGCTCAGCGAGGAGCTTCGGTCGGTTCGCCTGATCTGGGCCAGAGGGGTTGCCGCGCCTAGAGAACTTCAGGCCGAACTTCGGTCATGCGCCGAACCTGGCTTCCCACCACCGTAGTTGTGCCGTGGGCCGAGCCTCTCAAATCTGGGAGAGGTCTGGTCCCGAACAAGGATGACGGGTTAGCCCAGGAGGAGCGCTTGCTGTAACTGCGATTGTGGATGAAATAAAATGAAAAGAGGGAACTATAATCAATTATTATATAACACTACCAATGCCTGTCCCTTGATGTGCTTAGAAAACCAGCAAGCATCTTTCCTCCTGTACACCGCAAGCCATCAATTAACATGGACCACGTCGAACCAAGAGCACCTATAAAATAATCAGCCTCCGCTGCCATGAGCAAATTAACCCAAGCATTTTCAACGCTGCGTTGGGCCCCAATCCGGGCTTCATAGGCTGGCATGCTCTCCTTTCCTTTCATCCGGGGTATGTCGGTGACCTTCCAGTCCCATCCAGGAGTGCGGATGGCCCTTTCAACAACCTGTCAGTCAGTAACAAACAACGTACAATTACGGTACAGGTAATAACTCAGTTAAGAGCGAAGTGAGGTGCGAGAGGGGGCGGGCGAGAGGAGGGCGGGTGGGCAGATGTTACCAGTATCACCCAGTTACCTTACCGGCTGCATTTCTGTGCTGAGCCAGACGGTTGTAGCAGAGGGGTCGAACTGACGCACTCTCGACAGCAGGTGCAGGTACGTGCCGAAGCCCGCCACCCGCATCTCCTTCGCCTTGTCCCCCATGCGCACGTGCATGCTCACCATCGGCCGTGGCACCCACGGCACTGAAATTGTGTCCAAGAGCCCGCCCTGAGAATCATTGCTTTCAGAAGTACCGCTCTGCACTCCTTCATTACTCTTGGGATGACTGGTTTGAAAAAGGCTGCTCTGAGAACCACCCAGAAGCGGATAGTCAGCAGAAAGCTGGTTGGTCCCAGGGGGGAGAGTGCTCGCAGCAAAGCCCAGCTTCTCAGCCTGAAGCATTGTGGCTTCTGCGTGTGCCACATGGCGAGCCGCCATTGGTCCGAAGGCTGCGTGCCTAGCCCGGTTGAGGGCGGCACAGAGGTAGCGAGAGGGCGAGCGCATGAGGAAGCGCCACGCCTGCGCCCTCCACCAGCGGTCCTTGTTGCTGCAGACAGAGAAGGGCAGAGCAACGGACAGAGCAACGGGCAGAGCAACGGGCAGAGCAATCATGTGAGGGGCATGTGGAAAGGCAAGGCAGCACTGAGCACCACGCCTGCGCCCTCCACCAGCGGTCCTTGTTGCTGCAGGGAGGGATGGGCAGAGTAACGAATGGGCAGACGGTGGGGGTAGCACGAGGGCGAGGGCGAGGACGATCCTGTGCAGTGGTAGCACGAGGGCGAGGCAGCAATGAGCGCCACGCCTACGCCCTCCACCAGCGGTCCTTGTTGCTGCAGACAGAGACGGGCAGAGCAACGGGCAGAGCAATGGGCAGAGCAATGGGCAGAGCAATGGGCAGAGCAATGGGCAGAGCAATGGGCAGAGCAATGGGTGGAGCAATGGGCAGAGCAATGGGTGGAGCAATGGGCAGAGCAATGGGTGGAGCAATGGGCAGAGCAATGGGTGGAGCAATGGGCAGAGCAATGGGTGGAGCAATGGGCAGAGCAATGGGTGGAGCAATGGGCAGAGCAATGGGTGGAGCAATGGGCAGAGCAATGGGTGGAGCAATGGGCAGAGCAATGGGTGGAGCAATGGGCAGAGCAATGGGTGGAGCAATGGGCAGAGCAATGGGCAGAGCAATGGGCAGAGCAATGGGTGGAGCAACGGGCAGAGCAATGGGTGGAGCAATGGGCAGAGCAATGGGTGGAGCAATGGGCAGAGCAATGGGTGGAGCAATGGGCAGAGCAATGGGTGGAGCAATGGGCAGAGCAATGGGTGGAGCAATCATGTGAGGGGCATGTGCAACGGCAAGGCAGCAATGAGTGCGACGCCTGCGCCCTCCACCAGTGGTCCTTGTTGCTGCAGTGAGGAATGAACAGAGATTGCAAAGAGCAATGGGCAGAGCAATCAAGCAAGAGGCATGCGCAAGGGCATGGAAGCAAGCAACAAGCACAAAATGTGGAGGGTGTGTAGAGCAGACTGTGTGTCACCTCCAGCGAGCAGCAGTGTGCAGGGTACTCTTGCCGTCATTGTGCATTGAGTGACTCACCGGGTCTTGGTGGTTTGCCGCAATCTTCACACATAATTCTCAGGGAGCTGCAGTAGTGAAGCTAGACTTGAAGCAAAAGACAGGGTGAGTGTGTAGACTGTGTGTCGTCTCCAGGGAGCAGCAGTGTGCAGAGCACTCTTGCCGTCATTGTGCATTGAGTGACTCCTTTACTTATGAGGCGCCTAAAAAGTCGTCTTCTGAGGCGCCTAAAAAAAACTATTTGTCGTCTCCAGGAAGCAGCAGTGTGCAGAGTACTCTTGCCGTCATTGTGCATTGAGTGACTCACCCGGTCTTGGTGGTTTGTCGCATGTGTCCATTGATTTCAATCACGGCAGGGATGCGCAGCCACGGCTGCCCCCACAGGGAAGGCACAGGGGGGAACCACAGCAGCTCCTCGGGAATATCCTGCCGCCGCACCACAGGCAGGCTCGAGTGCACGTCTGATTCCGCTGGGAGATTGGATTCCGCCAGAAGATTTGATCCTGGTTCTGCTGTGGCGGGATGCTGCGCTTGCTGCTCGGCCATCAGGTCATGAGCACGTCTGTGGGATGGGGGGGGGAAAGGGAAGGGAATCGGTACGAAGCAAGACTCCACGGTGCACATCTAAAACATCTCCTGCATATTTATTTTATTTATTTTTAGAAAAGCTCACCTGTGGAATAACGGCTGAGAGGGGATCAAAGAAGTGACGAATGGATTTGGGGCAAACACCACACCGCACCACACCGCACCACACCACACACACACCTTCTGCACGCGTCACTCGTTTCCGGCGCAAAGAAGCAGTGCCAGCGGCCGTGCTTGCGCCCCTCACACCCTCCGTGCATCGCCCTCGGGAACTTTCCCAACACCAGCACCCTCCCTGACGCCACTGCCAGTGCCAGCGCCCCTGCCACGTTGGTGAGCTGCGCGCCAATGCCATACTTGGACTGAGGGACGAACGTGGCGTAGAGGAACCTGCGTGGGCACAGGGGAGAGAATGGAACGAGAGAGAGGGTTGGAGGTAAGCTGCTAGTTTGAGGCCCCCCTGCCACGTTGGTTAGCTGTGCGCCAATGCCGTACTTGGACTGAGGGACGAACGTGGTGTAGAGGAACCTGCGAGAAGAGAGGCATGGGCGGAAACGGGTTCTTTGTTTTTCCAAGCAAGCACCACAGACACTGTCACAGACACTACCAAAGACACTGGCACAGACAGCACCACAGACACTGCCACAAAACGGAGGGGGGGTGAGAGCAGCTGGCGAGGTGCATCAAAACAGCGATCTTTGAGCACAGGCAGCAGAACCACAGGCATCCGAACAGGCAGCACCAAAGATAGCACCAGAGGCACCTCACTTGACTGAAGGGAGGGAGCAGTTTTCAGGGTGCTGGTGCAGCCATATGTCCCTCTGCACGCGCCGAGTCAACGGGTAGTTCTCCTCGTCCGCCCCCACCACCCACGGCGGGTACGGTCCCTCCACCACCCCTCCCCTCCCCCCATCCTCTTCCCCCCCCTCCTCTATCTCCCCACCATGCCTCCCAACCCTCCTCTCCTTCTCCTTGCCCATCCCTCCCCTCGCTGCTATCCCCAATCTCCTCCCCCTTCCGTCACCCCTTCTCTGCTCCTCTTCAACCTCCTTCCTTTCAGCAGGCACGGCGTGACTCGCACTCTCCCGCTTCCTCTCCTGGGAAAACTCCTGAAAGGACCCACCACCTTTCTCCTGGGGCACCTGAGACCTCGGGATTTCCTCCATCCCGTGGTTTGAGAATCCGCCGCTAATTCCTCGTGCTCTCACAACTCGAATCTTATCCATAGACCCGCCGCCTTTCTTCTCGCGAATCAGAGCCCACGGGACCTCCTCCACCCTGTGCCGTCCACGCGCGAACCTCTCATACTGCGTCACCGCGTTGATCATTGCCTCGCAGTTCACCAGGTGCGGGGGGATTGGCGGAAGGACACGCGGAGGGACAGGCGGAAGGACAAGCCGAGGGACAGATAACTCCACTCTCGCACCAAGCGGAGGGAGAGGCGCTCCGCTTGGAACCTCCTCCTCCACCTCCTCCTCCTCTTCCTCTTCCTCCTCCTGCTGCTGCTGCTGCTGCTGCAGCTGTTGTTGTTGACTCTGCTGCTGTAGCGGTGATGCTTCCTGCGACGGGTCTGCTGAACCGTCAGAAGGAGCCAGTGCTGCTGCTGCATTCAATGGTACCATGTCAGTACTCCCCTTGTCGCTGACAACAGTGTAGCTGCTTTCTGTCAGCGTTCCGTTCAGTGTTCCGTTCACGTAAGGATCACTCGCGGCAGCAATGCCGAAACCTGGCTGAGAGCTAGTAGTACTGGTCTCGTCGCTGCTGATGTCATGGGTTGAGTACGGTGACCCCGGCCGAAGCAGCTCTGTCCAAAGCTGCATCAGTTCCTGTTCCCGTTGCAAAACAGCAGCTTCTAACGGGTCTGTGGTTAACGAATCACTGAAAGACGATTGCGTCTTGACAGAATCGCTAGATTCGCGGGACGAGCTGGCGTTTGAATGAGCGAAGCTGAACGAATCATGAGAGGCGGTGATTGGCGACGCTGACGATAGCTCACGAGAGAATTCATACGAAACGGTGAAATCTAGAACTCCGGAACCCGAGCCGAGGAAATGCCGTCCCAGGAGAATTGATACAGTAACCATTAGAAGAACTACGAACACATAGAAGTGAGGGACGTTAGCAACATTGCTTCCCTGGCTTAGGAATCTCGACAAGCTCGCATAACCACCAGAGCCGTCAGTAGCAACTCCACAAAAGCTATTCCGCCTCTGTTTCTCGGTCAGCAGGAGAAGGATCGATTCATCGTCGAGTTTGTTTGACCTTTCTTCTGAAATCATCGACGAGTTATTCTCTTCTTCCTCCTGTATATCTGCCTGACCGTTCCCCTCCTCGCGGCAATCATGGTGATGAGTTTCTGGAGGGAAGCTACTGGGTCCTCCTCGCCTAGCGAGCTCCATGACACGCGACGAGAGGGCTCAGCCGCAGAAACTACGAGTCGATACCTCCAGCTGCATGCATCAGAAAAGCAGCGTATGCCATTTTTCAGGACCACCACGACTCTTCTTCCCCACAGCAGAGCGGATTTGTGTGAAATGCTGCAATGCGGAGATGGCCGATCGAGACCAAGGGGAAGTGGAGGTGTCAGGTGAGCGACACGAACGCAATAATGAGTACAGATCTGTCTTGTAGAGATGCTACAATCGGACGGTGCTGTATTGCAGCGGGCATATATGCAGCTCTCAGCTTATGATTGGTGTGAATACCACCAAATTAAAAAAAAAAATGTATCTCGTATCCGGATTATTCAACTCTTTAGCCAGCTTATCACTCTAGGCATGCATGCATACATCATGCAACTATGTGCGTAAAAGTTTTTATAGATTGATGAAAGAGCTCATTTGCGGCCTTCCGGGAATATTATATCCCTGCATAATCCGTTGCAGCTGTTTTCATAACTTTTTGTGACCCCATAGACAATTGGATACAGACAGAAAATGTTTTTTAGTTTTACGTAATCACAAACTACATTGCAACGCTCTATTCTCACACCAATTTCGCCCTGTGATTGTTTCTCGATGGTCACATACAGTCGTGGACCCAGAGCTTACCACTCGCCAGACTCCATCATCCACTCATCCGCTTTACAGCGCATCCGGCTCAGCCCTCAAAGGCCACGTCTGCAGACCCACACCAAAATCTATGCGGTGGTATACCACCAGTCCATCAACACATCATCCGCAATCAACATTTCCCCCCTTGCTCATCCGCCCAGCAGGCAGCGAGCAAGCTCGCACTCCGCCCCTGACGCTCAGACATCCATATGACACGTCATCCACCTCAACTTCTGCCTTGGTACTGCTCCATCTGTGAGCGGGCGCCCTCTGCTGCCAGTCCTCCCCCACCCCTCTGCCCTGAAGCCATTTTCCGTCTCTCCGTTCCGTCGCTTGCATCTGTTGCTCTCCATTCCCTTAGCTTCCAATTCCCTTTCGAGGCCGCCGTCCGTAGTCTCCCCGTAGTCTACTCTCAGACTCGAAAAATGGCGGCCCTCGCGACCAAGCTTGCGCTCACAAGCTCCCCATGCCTCTCATCCGTGTCCCTCCGACGGGGATCCGCGCTCCCCGTCGTGTCGGTCGCGCCTGTCAGGAAGACCCGCGCTCTTGCCGGTCGCGTCGTGGCCTCCGCCGCGACCACCGATATTGAGGAGCTCGTTTCGCAGATTAAGAACCTCACGCTTATCCAGGCCAGGACTCTCACTGACAGGCTGCAGGAGGAGCTCGGCGTGTCTGCCGCTGCCATGATGCCGGTCGCCGGCATTGCCGCTCCCGCCGCCGGCGAGGCCGCTCCCGTGGTTGAGGAGCAGACTGAGTTCGATCTGCTCCTGGAGGAGGTCCCGGCGTCGTCGCGTATCGCCGTGATCAAGGTCGTGCGAGCGATCACCGGCCTTGGCTTGAAGGAGGCCAAGGACATGATTGAGGGTCTTCCTAAGAAGGTTAAGGAGGCTGTTGCTAAGGAGGATGCGGAGGAGGCCAAGAAGCAACTGGAGGGTGCCGGTGCCAAGTGCAGCATCAAGTAAAGGAAGTGATGTTCCTTCGTCATTGCCAAGTAGGAGGAGGGCTCCCTCGTGTGGATAATGTGCGTTGGTTAGCTGTACGGTCTTTGTAACGGCAGTGAAGCATTTTCGCAGCCAGAAGGAGATCGCGAGGTTAGTCGCGCGCTGGTCCGTACAATGATCTTTTGTCTTTCTGTTTACTAAAATCACGTTCACTCAATGCTCCTTGCATTCACGGAATTCTCCCCCCTCAAGAGCATGGATTGACAGAGACTGAATGGAGAACTGTGCAAGGTAACAGGTTCCACTGCAGGTGTCTGTAACGGGGGAAGAGGGGGGAGGTGGCAGGTCGTCGATTACGTTCAGTCAGAGTCTAGGAGACAGGTTCTGATCCAGTCCAAAGTAGAGGGTTTGGTTGGTAGCTGCAGGCGAATGCAGCGGAGAGTGTTTTCAGAGGGTTCAACATTGGTCCGTTGTGTACTCATTACACCCCTCGTCTCCCCGTCCACAAGGTCACATGGGATGCCATCGCAATGTCAATTCTCGCATTTTCGTCTCGTCGTATAACCCATGCTCGTTGTCAGGTGTCCGACAAGGTGTCTTAGGAGTCAGCGTAGTCGTTTACCTGTCCCATTGCATATGCTCTTATTCATCCTGTCTGTCCAACTCGTTTAGCCCATGTCCGTCATCATATGTCCCAGATGGCGTCTTAGGCGTCAGGTTAGTCTGCCCAATGGTCTGGTCTGAATGCAGTTGAGGTGGGATTGGTTTTATTATGTGTCTATAGTCAAGCGATCCATGGGTAGAGTTTGTTGATCAAGGTGAAGGTGTGGTGTGGTGGGGGGTGGGGTGACGGCCACATGTACCGGTAGTAGGTTGACCTCAACTGCACAAAACTAGAAACTGAACTAGAGGCAGGGATGGATTCCACTAATTCTATGGTATATATGCCCCAATGGTGCACTTCTGAGAGGAAATATCAAATTGGCACTATCAGGTTGAATGGACATAACGGGCATTCTGAGCTTTTATGGTTTGCACCTTTGCGCAACAAGTAGGTCCACAAAGGAGGTAGTACAAGAATTGTAGTAGCCCGATTACCCTTCTTGATCATGCACTTTATCTGAAAAGGGAGGCCCATACCCTACATTGGTTCAAAATTGACTTACTGTAGGGCATACATATATCATTTATCCCTAGTGGTACATTCTTGTTCTTGGAGAGAGCTGGTTGCAGTGACAGGGCATTTTCTGGTGAAGAGGGGCCACGTCTCGCTGGCCAATGAGGTTCAAAATTCGACCAATCAACCAATCACTGATCTCCATTAGACAGGTTGTGTCGTGCTTCGCGCCGTATGCTCGATCTGCTTCGATAGAACCACGAAGATCCAAGGGTGGAAAGTCCATCGGTCAGCACTAGCTTCTGGAAGAATCCGTTCGGCTGGTAGGTTACATCTCACTCGCACATCCTCCCTGCGAACACAGAGAAATCGATGACAGCTCCTGGACACTGTACAGCTGAATTCTGATCATTTCAAGGCTTCCCTAGCGGGCAAGGCAAGCTGAATTCCCACCAGCATCAAGCAGATCAGTTGTAAACCTTTTCTCCTTGAGTTGCAGCAGCCAGCCAGGCATAGCGCAGGACCACGGATTGTCGAAGTGTAGTAGTCTGAAAGTAGTCAGATAGACTTTGCTTTTCCGTGACTTGTGGTCTCTAGATCTGGACCAGGGATCGTAGATCATGGCACGGTCGACGGTTCTTGCGCTTCTGGCGCTGGTTCTTATCACCAGCCAGTCATGCCTTGCTGTAAGTTAAAAGCAATCTGCATTGTTCTAGTGCCTTGGTGGGTGGATCTTGCAGACATTTTTTCTTACCGCAGTTATTGCCATTCGTCTCTTGATGTCGGATGTCCGTACGCCTCCCTTCCGTCTCAATCCATGCAGGTGGAATTCTTTGAGACGTTTGACGAGGATTACGCTGGTCGCTGGGTCGTCTCTAGCAGCGCAGACTACACTGGTAAGTCTAAGATTTTCCGCCGAGATTTGCTGCACTTCAAGTGACTGAATCTCCAAAATGAGCACCCATGAAAAGTATATGCACATTGAATGCTTATCCAGAACAACCTGAGAATTCATGTTTTTTTCATTTTCTTGCTCAGGCAAATGGAAATGGGCTGCTGGCGAAGCGTCGGGCGATTACGGGCTGCTGGTAACCGAGAAGGCGAAGAAGTACGGCATCGCAGCGGAGCTTCCCGAGCCGGTGGATCCGAAGCAGGACACCCTGGTGCTGCAGTACGACGTTCGCCTGCAGAACAACCTCGAATGTGGCGGAGCTTATCTCAAGTTCCTCATGCCGCAGGTATTGAAATTAATTCTGAGTTGACTCCAAAAGTCAACTTGCTGCCCTTAATTTTGTCCTGATTGCGACTTGTCTCTGTTTCCTTTCTTATGACCCGCTAATCTGATCCATCCTGACCCTCTGCTCCTCCTTGCTTGTGTCTTCCGATCTGTCCTCCCGTTTGGGTCAATTAGACCGCGGGCTGGACTCCCAGTCAATTCAAGGACGACTCGCCGTACTCGATCATGTTCGGGCCCGACAAGTGCGGCTCGACGAATAAAGTGCACTTTATTTTCCGCCACAAGTCGCCCAAGACGGGCGAGTACATGGAGCACCACATGAAGAAGCCCGCGTCGCCCTACACATTCGACAAGCTCTCGCACGTGTACACGGCGATCGTGTACCCCAACAACACGGTGGAGATTCTGATCGACGGCGAGAAGAAGGCGGAGGGCGATTTGCTCTCCGGGAAGGATTTCCAGCCGCCCGTGC